ACTGGGGCTGCGTGCTCAGTGACGGGAACCTCGAGATATACGGGCGCTGCGACTCCATCGTGAAGATACGAGGCTACAGCGCCGACACTCAGGTTCATTTGTTTACAGTTCCTGTACCTCTGCAAAGTTTCAGTGCCCTTGGTTTTTTAACAACACTGTCTTGAGTTACGTGACAGTAATGAGTGATGAACAGGGAGAGATATCAGAGGAAACAGCCGTGGTCTATTTTAATGTAGTTTACCAGAATGTTTCTAGAAGTATCGAGGAAAACTATAGAGACCCTTGCAAAGTTACTTTTTTATAGGGCAAATACATCACAACTGGTCTCAGTAACATACGTATTGTCTTTTCTCAAACGTATGCTGTCCAGTCACGTTAAAATGTTCAGTTTGTATTTGAAGCTGTCACATATCAGAGTACTGTACGCGTAGATATTCATCTCTGATAGATGTGTTTGTTTGATGAAGCAGAGATGCTTGGCCAAGTATATGTAGATATCCTGCCTACTGGCATTCACGTGCCTCGCCATGGGGCACAGAACTGAAGCCCAATTTTCCTGACACCTTGACACTGATCATATAATTACAGGCTGTAGAGGCAGCACTGTTGGAGCTGTCAATGGTAAACACCTGCTGTGTTCTGGCAGAAGGAGATGAGGGCTCCAACAAGTATCTTGTGGCTTACATCAAGCCTGAGGGCAAAACGTCGCACAAAGAATTGCGTGCTGCCCTCAAGAAGAGGTTGCCATTCTACATGATACCCTCCAAATTCATCTTTATTGACAGGTAAGTAACACAGATCTCTGAATCTGGCATAATTTAGAGGTGAGATGTACTTCTTACTTTTTATTCTATCATTAATAGGAAGTAGTGTAATTTTTCTCCCCCAAGATTCTCCCATTTCTGTATTCTCTCTTTCTTTAACTGTCAGTCATCCCAAAACCCATCCTACTATTTCTTTTTAAATTTCCTGTGACCTCCTTACTTCTCTCTCTGCCCACCGCCATTCACATCTTGCGATAGGTGTTTCAGCCATTTACATTCATTTCCTTCTACATGTCATCACCATTTTAATGTGTTCTTGTACGTTCAATCTTTGTCTTATCTGCTTCATTTTGCACCAAGCTGCATCCAGTCAGTATTGAATGTCTTAGGGAATAACATTCATTAAGTGTTGAATTTAGACCAAAAGAAAGGGCACTGGAGAAACCAGCCAGACGTTTCATGTTCCAGTATCCCTATACTACAGTCATCGGGGAAACTGAACAAGAAGGCCCTAGTGAAGATGTCAGATGTGGGAGACGGCAATTCCGTCGATCCACAGCCGCAGTCCGTATTGATGGAGCCCCGACTTGCTGCCATCTGGTGCAGGGTGTTGAAATTGGATGTCATTGATGTACATGTGAACTTCTTTGACCTCGGAGGGTAAATATATGTACTTCTAACAGAGTGTTGCTACATTTGTCACACTGATGTCTCTGTGGTTGCCCTTGTGACTTGCATGCAACCTTTATTTCTCTTAAAAACGATTCACACAAAAACTCATATAAATGTGTGTATGCTGTGGAGCTCTGTTTCATAGCCTCATCTTATACAGTTCATTTAATTTTCTCTCAACCCTTCGCATACTTTTACTGACATCACTGTTGTTGATTTGTTGCCTTCGGCCAACAGACTTGATGACAGAAGAGTGATGATGTTCAGCTTGCAGATGAGCTCTTTGTCACTTTATCAACCGTGAGCTTTATCTTTCCCAGGCACTCACTGCTTGCCACTCAACTTGTAAGTGAAGTCAATGAAGAACTGGGCCTATCGCTTAGCATATCAGACATGCTACGTCACTCCACGCTGTATTCCATGGCGAGATTCATTAATAACCAAGCAGTGAGCAGTCCTAATGCCACACTGGATCTAGCAGCCGAGGTAGAGACACATGCTCAAGACAATTATCCGTGAGTTGGCTTATCACCACTTTTGCACAACAGACTCTGCCAAAAAGCAGTTTTTATCAGCCACTGGTCAGTGGAATGTTGCCGGTCCCTGGCATAATTCGTGTTCGTCCATAATTTCTAGAACCTCAGCTAGTAAATTTTCTGTTTTATGATAAACTTTTTTTAATTTCACTTTAAGAAGTAAATAGTTTGTTCTGAACAGTGAGGACCATCAGTTTTATCTGTTTTGCATTGTACAACACAGACAAAGCTTATCAGATGATTCTTAGTGCATCTAAACATGTTGTAGCCCATCCCCTCTCTCTCTCTCTCACCCTGCAAGGAGACTCCCTATTGATCCATTGGCCCAGACCACATCCTCCTCATTCCTGACTCCGGTTGGCCGGTTCTCCCCACAGCATAGTCCTTCTTTTGACCCTATGTAAACTATCCATGTCCCAAGACCCCCACTTCAACTTTGAAGATGGAAACAGTATATTTCTCCGAAATTCTGGTATATACCTGTGAGTCCACACGGTGCCACAACTCGGAACAGGAACACTGTCAAGGTGTTGTCATTTCCGTGTGTGTCCTTCACATTCAATCATTCACAAGTCACTTCAATATTCACTGCTACATAACCTAACCTTTTTAAATGCAACCCAAGAATCAGAAAATCCATACCAGGCTATAAGAAATGGCCAAGTTGTAAATCTGCCTCGTTATCTCAGTTGACTTAGAGGTACTGAAAAGATTATGTTGAGTTGGCTATTCTGACTTGCTCTAAACAAATACCGGTTCCACTACCTCGGTGGATCCAACATTTGTTGTTCTATACCGTGTAACCGCAGGAGTTAAACGACCTCTAAATCCACTACAGTAGTTGATACATCATTGTTACAGTACAGATGGTAGCAGACTGGCTTCATATTCGTGTGCCCCATAACTGAATCTCAGAATCGAGCCTACGTATCTTGATTGAGATTGTGCGTGATTTTCTGGTCTGCCATGAGTTAATGGTGGCACAGATTTAAAATAACAGGTTGCAGACATGGCTTTCATCAATCCTTCCAATCTGCTGTTCACAGTCATTTAAAGCTACATAACCTCAGTAGTGAATAGATTGTTGTAAAATGGTTTGTTTGTTCTGCACCACGTTGACGCGGGTTTTGCGTCGTAGGTCGGATACCAGTCTCCGAGCATTTTGGCGTTTCTCTGAGGTGTCTCACTCCAGGAGGCGTTGCGAGAGAATTTTCTTGACAGGGGCAACCGGATATGTCGGGGCGTTTATTTTGAAGGAACTGTTGGAAAATACAGAGGTATGTTTCTTGGGTTACCAGTAAGTATTCACATAAACATATTCTACCGACGTGCATCTCGTGTCCAGCGCATTTCTTTTACCGAGTGAAGTCTGTTGTGTGATTAAATCGAGAAGAGTGGAATGAGAGGTATTGAAAATGCATGCTGAATTATGGTTGGGAAGTCTCAAGGATGCACTGTGGAAGATGAAAGTTGGATTTGAGGTTTTCACGGCAGTGAGTCTGAAGGTGGAAGTTACACGATGGAGTAATATTAAAGTGTATCTTAGGGAAATAGTCTGTGAGTATGTGAATTGGATTTAACTGGCTCTGGATAGATTCAGTTTTCTTAATATGCTGGCTCCCAAGCTACTTTACCAGACAAATTCCAATGGTGACCCCTCACACTATACTTGTTCCTAACTTTTCACGTGTTTATTCAATGTTCAGATTATGTTGCGTCACATTTCACAGGCCGTGGTATACTGCCTTGTCCGGGAATCGCCCGGCATGACGGCGATGGGTCGGATTCGCAGTTCCTTTCAGAGGTATTGTGTTGCAGAGCTTGACGAAAACTCTGAGCTCAGGATTGTGCCCTTAAAAGGTACTGTCTGGCAACAGTCTTCTGTCAGATACATAATTAAGGCCAGATTAAATATGCAAGTCTCTTAACATTTTAAGTTAAATTAGCAAGTTCTGTGGGGCATTTCAAGTTGGTTCTTAACAGTGATGTGGCAGCAGGAAGCAATAATCCTTTTGTTTGTTTGTAGTGTATTTAAGGATCATAGCAGTAGCTGAGGTTGTATGGTGCAAATGAAGGATAATAATTAATGAACAATGAATTATAAAGGACTTAAGAGGAAGCAGTCTGCCTAGTGGGTGTAGAGACTCATTCAGGCAGTCAGGTATCCGGCCTTCACGCCTAGATTTTGGCCCAGGGCCTCTTGAATTTGAAGCAGGAGTGTCAACCGCCCAACCACCACATTCTGTGAAACCAATCTTAATGTATGTCACCACCTTAAAGGTGGAAGTCAACACATGTTTGTACTCGTAGAATGCAGATGAAGCTGTCCTTATTATTAAACATTTATTGGTGCTGGAGAGTTTCAGGTTCTCACACCAGAGAGTAATAAGACTGCAGGATGTTGTAGAAACTTAAGTAGAACCAACTTCTGAAATGCTTAATTACACCCAGACAATGAATTAAAAAAAAAAAAGCAATGTAGTGCACCAATGTCAGAAGCCTTTGAACTTTGACTGCCTGCTGGTGTTCAGGAAAGATATTTCTCTGTAACAGGCGACGTCTCTCTTCTGAATTTGGGACTGTGTGAAAATGACTACATGTACCTCGTGTATGAGATCGACTCCATTATCCATGCGGCTGGTGCCGTGAACCTTGTCCACCCATACTGTGCTCTGTCTGATGCTAATGTACTGGGGACTAAGAACATTCTTGCGTTCGCTGTCGATCGCAAGATAAAGCCTGTGCATCACATCAGGTAAGGACCACAAACTGCATGCTATTTAACAGTGCTGTACTGATCAAAACACTGTAGTGTTGAATTAGATGAACTAACTTCTGTTGAGAAGCTGATAGTTGGCCCAACTAGTCAAGAAATTGCCTGCCTTTATGTAACCTTAGGGTTTGTTACTGTGTTCACCATTGATCCCTGCCCTACTTCTATAAGATGCGTTGAAAAAGTGTCTTCCCATCTATGCTTAGCTCGACAAAGTACTTTCTTTCCTTCAGATTTTCTGATCAAAGTTATGTAAGCATGTCTTGTGACTTCCATGCATGCTACATTCCTCACCAATCTCATGAAGTAGCACTGTCCAGCATTTACAGCAAGGCACTTACTAAAATTCTCAGAATAGGATGGTCATGTCCCGACCAGTTGGGAAATGGGTCTCTGACAAGTTCGGTGTGTTGCTTCTCTTTGTATGGAATGAATGTAACGTGTAGTGGAGGAAACATCATTTTGCGTAACAGGATATACCAAAACTGTGGAACTGAATGTGTTTTGTGATTATTGTTTCTTGTAGCACAGATGCAGTTTTTCCAGAAGGTTTTCAGGACTGCAAAGAGGATGCCAACATGATGATGTATGCTGACAAACTTGTCAGTGGCTATGCGCAGACTAAATGGGTGGCAGAGCAGCTGGTACTACATGCACATGGCAGAGGACTTCCTGCTGCTGTCTACAGGTACTTGACATTTGTTGGACATTCTCACCAAATTACACAACTTCACTACTTCAAGAACCTAGAGCAGTGTCACCAACTTTCATTTCAAGTTGTGATTATAACGTTTTAAATTAAACATAAAAGAACACCACAAATAAGGAAGTAATATGATGGGGCAATAATTCCCCCCCCCCCCCCTTTTTTTTCTCTTATGGTAATTTCATTTCATTTCAAAACATAACACCTTTTCTGGCAGTAGTCTCTCTTGTACATGCACAAATATCATATTAAGCATGCAGACCACTCCACCAAACATCGTGTAACTGTATTATATTTCTGCTTTATTTCTTTAGATGTGGCAACATAGGGGGACCACAGGAGAAGGCAAGCTGGAACCCAGCTGACTTCACTCTGCTTATGTTGCAGGGTTGCCTGTACACACAGACGGTTCCTGACATTCACTGGCAGGTTCGTTTGCTTTATGGTGACAGTTTATGTGAATTTCCCTGTTAGCACCACTGTCATTCATGTCCTAGTTGAATCAGGAAGCCAACGCACGCTGAAACAGAAAAAATGCTTAAAATATACACGCAATACGGAGATCATGTCCCAGCCATCTGTTCACCTGTAGTGCAGATTTAAAAGTTCTATCCAACCACCAGTCCCTATCCTGAACCAGATTAGTCTAGCCCACGCCATCTCACCTTATTTCCCTAAGATTTATTCTAAAATTATCCTGGGTTTTCTGAGTAATCCTTGCCCTTCTGGCTTTCTTGCCAAAATATGGTACACATCTCTCAAATCCTGGTGGTTGCTACATGCTCTGGTCATATAATTATACGACTACATGGAATATACAGTAAATTAGATAAATTAATTTTGTTCTGTACCTTTCATCCAATTTGTAAGTTTTGGGACCCACGAATTTTCGTATTGCTGAACAGGCTTTCCTATACCCACATGTCTAAGACAATTGGGGGAAGGAGGTGCTGAAACACTTCCAGTTGTTGCGGGATACAGGCCTTGACACAGCAAATGTTCATGCCAGTGACAGTTCTGACATCATCAAGGAAAGACTATCGACATTCCAAGAAATTCACAGACTGTTCACACATCCTTGATGAGGAGTGATGTGTTCTCCTTCATCACTGTAGATAGCATCATCTTGAATAAAAAAATGATTGAGAGTCCTGAAGGTTGATGTAGACATGTGCACGTGTTTTGCAACTACGTTACAGATTGAGCTTTCCCCAGCTGACTTTGTGAGCAGAGTAATAGTGGGGCTGTTAAAGGCTGTTCTGCACTCTGGTGGTAGAATCTTTCACATCATCAACCCTGTCACAATGAACTGCTGGTGAGTACAGATGAAGAGTATGATACAACTCTTTGATATGTTAATATCATGACAAGTAGATGAGCCCAAAACAATTATCAATGTTGGAGAAGAGAAATAGCACCTCAGTGTACTGTACTGGTTACAGGTTGTGTTTACCGTATCAGAAATTTTTCTTTTTTTCAGACATGTCGTTTCAGTCGGTACACTGCAGCATCTGGACCCCACTTATCCTACTCCAGTTTTTGTCATAAGTCTCCACGATGACGTCGTCGTTGTTCACACATTGCGACAGTAAATTCCCACTCACTTTGCACTCTTGTCAGAGAATCTATTGATATTCAGTCATGCCAACGTCGAATGAAAGTTTGTGGACGTTGAGGTGCTCGATAAAGAATTCTGTTGCTTTCCACTCGAGGACACATACGAGCAATAAAATAGTTCCATTAGTAAAGTACATTTCTGTTTTGAACGATTTCTGAGACATGAGCAGTAAATAATTGTAGTTTTCGTAGCTATCCAGCTTGAAGATAGCGTCACCGTTATATCAGTCCGTCTCTGTTGCGTAATGATATTCCTTGGTGGTATTTTGCTAGTATCCGGTTAGAAAAGTAATTTGGGAATAGTTTTCTTCAATTGGGTGATTATTTCCCATATTGACGTCTGTGCCTGTGACAGACATTACATGTTAACGTATTATAGTTTTGAAAGTTCTGTGTAGTGATTATTGGTGTTACATATGACGACGCCACGAAAGAGAGCGTAGTGGGTACGTAAAGGCGTGTGAAAGTGAAGTTGCTTTCTAAAAAGACGCATGTAACAGTAACGTTTATCCAAGGTTGGCGTGCCTGACTGTCCCTTGACGTCATCGTAGAGCCATGGAATAATATTGTAACCTTATGGACTAGAGCAGAGGTTCCCAAACTTTTATACCTTCCGCCCCCTTAAAACATTTCATAAATTTCTCGCCCCCTTCCAGAACAAGTGCAAGCAAACAGGTTTGACATAAAATTTAACTATGAGTATACATTTTTTTTATAATTTAGTATATATTATTCAATGCATTTAATTTAAAAAAAACTGTAATAAAATATACGCTCTGAATTCTACATCACTGTAAGACAACTAAACTGCCTCAACCAAGCAAAGGATGTTAGAAATGTTTCTCCATATTTCGTTAAAAAAAGTTTTTCATACAAACAACCCGGTGAACCGATACAGCAGTCTCCGTTATAATTATCATGCCTCGTTTCGTTCACCCTTATTGACCATTCGATCGCGATTTATGTAATTCTCCTTACAATTAACCAAAAGCTCCCGAAATTTGGCGGAAGGAGCCGATGTGCATTGTACTGTCCTTTGAAATAATAATGCAGATTTAATCCGTTTTGAAAACTGAATAAATTTATTTTACTTTTTAAAATGTTAGTACAATTTGATATTTTTTGTTTTATCCTGGCTAGCAATAGAAGTGAAACAGAAAAATCGAGAAGAATCGCGAAAAGTGACCAAGTCTATAAATGCTGAAATGAAAAAAACACTAATAGTGTAGAATTACAACCTGATATTACAAGTAAGAAATAGATCTGCATTCAATGATGTAAGAAAGCAGTTAGCACTGCTGCATCATATTCTGGAGGTGTTCGGTTTAAATTTGAATTATGGTTCTCTGAGGTTTTCCTCAGTCCTTCCTGGCATATACCTTAAGAGTACCTTAAATTTGTACTGCTCCGTTTCAGGTCTTTTCTAATTTATTCATTAATCATGTCATTTGACAATATTATTAAAGAAGCCATAAATAAATAAAACGTTATATTTGCGTAGCTGTAACGTGTTTTTGTGTTGGCAGTGACTTGTGGCAGCTGCTAAGGGCACAGGGCTACCAGCTGGAATTAGTGTCTTACAGAGACTGGTACTGGAAGGTGAAGGAGGCTGCAGCGAGTTCCAGTGAACACTCAGCAACATTTGCCAGTCTACTGTATCTGCTGGATGCCGTTACGTAAGTTTGTGTGTCCGAGATATTTGCGCAGGCAATGCCGCTGTTTCCCGTCGTCAGTAATTTCATGTGGCAGGCACTTGGATATTCTGCTATAACTTTGCGGATGTGTTAGAGGTCCGTGCTGCTTCCATTATCAGGGTGATGAGCCCTGGTGACCGGTCTATTACGAACCTCTGGAACGTCGCTCGGCTTGTACCAGGCTACACATGATGCAACATTTCAAAAAATGTTTGGCTGTCAGGGCAAATGGAACAGAATACCTCCAGATGTGGAGGATAGCACAGACATATTTGAAAGGAATCACAGGTGGCTTATAAGGGGTGATACTCCAGCTTGAGCTTAGGTACGGAGCGTAAAATATCAGCATGTTAAAAGAATGTCACGTGAATGCATTCATTCGAATGAACTAAGCAATGGGAAATGGGAAGAAGTGGTCATTAGTAATATGATTTGCTGTGACGGACGTTCGTATCAGTCATGGGATATAAACCCATGACTTTGTGTCCTAAGGGTGCATGGCCTTAGGTGACTACTTTAACCAATAGATCAGTGTTGAATATTAAAGGAGGAAACATGCATAAAGTTGTTTTAATCAAAGTTCTTAATGAATTTTGGTCGAAAGCAGATCACGAGACGTAATCTACGATAATGATCGTCAAGATTTATAATATTGTGTGTTAGTCCTAATAATATATTTTAGTTTAACTTCCCATGTTTTGCATTTGCAGGGATCCAGGTTTCTTCCGTCAGAGCTCCACGTTCACACAGCTGAATCTGCAGGCGTCACTTCAGACGCTTGGTCTGACTTACCCTCCTGTTGATTCAAAACTGATGTGGAGGTATCTGAGCCACCTGACGTCACTCGGCCTCGTCCCGCGCCCAAACATGCTGCAACAGGATGGTAAGTCTACTGGTATGTTTAATGTACCGCACTAGGTACAGTAATGAAGTGTGCGTGGGAGAGATGAGAAATAAATACAAAATCTATTTTAGTTATAAAACCTGCAGGTATGAGACCACTTGACAGAATCAGGCATAGACGAGAGGATGGTTCTGATATGGATTGTCAAATAATATGTGAATGTGTAAACGGGGTGTAATTGCACGGCTCTTTTGAACGTGGGATTGAACCTTAGGGTTCCGCTTCTTGACTAGCCGAGTGACAGTCAGCCCCTCAGGAAGGACTCTGCTCTGTGGTGTTGGTTTCTGGTCAGTGTCATTCGGTTATTTGCAGAAAAGAAATTTAGTGCTTGTGGTGACTTCCTACCATATGGTTGAATTGTTGGTGGGACTGAAGTGGGGTTGCATTATGAAGAATTTCAGACTTTGTAGACAGACCTCTGGTGTTTCATCTTTGTAAGAAAATAAGTTCATAGCATGTCAGCATTTTCTGTGTAAAGTTAATTTAAATCTTCATACTTCAACTTTTCTGTAATAGCACAGCATGAAATTAAGGCATTTGTGCAAGGGTGATACAAGGCACAAGCAACTAGTCTCTTCATTATTTTCTCTGTTATGGTTTACTTGCACTAACTCCATAGAACAGAGTCTTTGAGAAGCTCACCTAGTCAAGACATTCCTCACCTTTAATGGAGCCAAAGGGTTTATTTTTTTGTGTTCACAAGAGCCCACCATTGAGTCAGATGAATCCAGTCCACATCCTTACATTAAATTTTTTATATCCATTTGAATATTATCTTTTCTATGTGTAGGATTTCCATGTCATCTCTTGTCGTCAGCTTTTTAAGTTAAATTATTGTTCACATTTCTCATCTTCCGCCGCATGCCGCATTCTCCGCCTGTTTCTTCTTGATGTTATTGTCATAATAACATTAGGTAAAGATTATGGACAAGCATCATGTGATGCCTGTGTCGTACATCTCCAGGGCCATTCTACAGATCTTTACTAAATATAATACTTTGTAACTTTGTTCATAATGGTCCAATATAATGTCTGATTTTTATGAAACTAGAATGGAACTTATGAGGTTTGTCAAAAATGGTTCCCCATACAAAGGATTGCCTATGGAATGAAAAATATATATATATACACACCGTTAAGACCTTCAATGACCAGCAAATTATTCATTAGTCATCATTATTTGAAGGCATACTCACAAAGAATGATGTGTTGCTGTGTTGTTTTTCTTTTGAGAAGACCGTTGTGTAATGTAGTCTGTTCCAGTCTAATAGTTGAGGTGCGGAAAAAAATTATGATTTCAGTTTCAGCAGGGAAGGAGAGTTTTGTAGTCTGATTCATGA